TGTGAGACCATTCCAGCCATGGCAGTTAAAAGAAACAACCATTCTGAGTTTTAAGAAAATATTTTATGGAGAGACATAAATCATGTTAGGATATGCATAATTATGAGTGATGTTTTATAGTCGATAGGAATTTCAGATCATCTGACTGTCAGAGATGAATTATAAAATTGGTCAGCTGTATGTAAAGAAAGGGCTGCTGAGAAAAGGATGAGTCCGCCACATAAGGGCAGAGCAGAGCAGGTCCTTACTGTGTCTTGAAGTGCTGTAATAAGCCTGTTGTATTTGGAGGAGACAGACACAGAGAGCTCAAGTGATCAGGGTCCAGTGGTAAAGGTCAGATTACACAAGCAAGAAGACACAGATAGACTCTCATAGCATGCAGTGTCTCAGGTACAGTGGCTAAGGTGCTCCAACTCCCAGGTAAGCCGTGCTGGGAGGTCTCCAGTGAAGCGTGCCACATGATATGTTTGCTACCAGGGGTCTTCAGGTCTTTAGTCTGCTATTTTGTTTTAAATTAAGTTTTATGTGTATGGGTATTTTGCCTACATGCATGTGTATGTACCATATCATATGTCTGCCTGGTGCTGGTTGAGGTCAAAGATGGTGCCAGATCCCATGGAAATGGAGTTACAGATATTTGTGAGCCACCATGTGAGAGCTGGGAATCAAACCCATGTCCTCTGGAGGAGCTGCAAATGCTCTTAACCACTGGGCCCTGGCTGCTATTTCAAACAAAAACAAAAGTACAAAAGCCTGTCTTCAGTGTCACCTTAAATGAATTTATCTGAGATCAGAATGATTCCACTGCAAAACTGAAGTTTCTAGAAAAAAATGGCCACACTTACTACTACTAATTAAAAAAGGTTGAATACCATATTAGTCATTGTCCTATTCTTCTGACTAGAGAATTGAGGAAGCTGATAGAGGAAAAGGCTTGTTTAGTGCCTGGACACTAGTATGTTGTTCTGTAGTAAGTGCACCATGATGGTGAGAGTGGAGAACAAAATTGCTCACCTACTGACAGCCAGGGAGAGAGGTTGGAGAGGGGGGAGGGAAAGGGAGAGAAAGGGAGGAAAAGAGGGAGGGAATGAGAAAGAGAAGAAGAGGAGAGCACACACTCATATGAAAGCACATACTTCCTTCCAGGACCCATTTCCAAAAGATTCTACTGCCTCCTAGTAGCACCACAGACTCTGACTGTTGTTTTAACATATGGACCTTAGGGAGATATTTAAGATCTGAACCATAAGGCTTGGTGGAGGTAGCACACACCTTTAATCCCAGCACTCAGGAGGCAGAGGCAGGCAGATTTCAGAGTTTGAGGCCAGCCTGTACTACAGAGTGAGTTCTAGGACAGCTGGGCTATATAGAGAAACTCTGTTGTAGAGAGAGCAGCGGGCTGCGTTCCTGCCTGGATCCCAGCTGCCTGGCTAGCTTATGCCCGAAATAACAACACACAAATTGTATTCATTTAAACACTGCCTGGCCCATTAGCTCTAGCCTCTTACTGGCTAACTTTCACATCTTGATTAACCCATTTCCATTAATGTGTGTAGCACCATGAAGTGGTGGCTTACCAGGAAAGATTCAGCATGTCTGACCTGGCAGCTAGCTCCATGGTGTCTGCCCTGGAGGAGAGGCATGGCGATTGTTTCACTTCCCTCTTCCTCCCAGCATTCTGTTCTGTCTACTCCACCTACCTAAGAGCTGGCCTATCAAATAGCAAAGGCAGTTTCTTTATTAACCAATGAAATCAACACAAAACAGAAGACCCTCCCACATCACCCTGTCCTGAAAAAGGTCTGAGCCATAAAAAAATCATTTACTAAGCCTATCTTAGTTCTTAGAGATTCTTATAACTGCAGGACACATTTAATTTAATATATTGAGCCATAGCCAGGTGGTGGTTGTGGTGGTGCACACCTTTAATCCCAGTACTCAGGAGGCAGAGGCAGGCACATCTCTTGAGTTCAAAGACAGCCAGTGCTACACAGAAAAACTCTGTCTCAAAACAACAACAACAACAACAACAACAAAGTTTGGGCCAAACACACCTTTGCCTGAAGGTATACCAAATATTATTAAAAAGCTTAAAAACATTTATCTATGGGCTAGAGACAGCTCTGTGAGTAAAGTGACTTCTGCACAAGATGAGGAGCTGAATTCAGATTCCCAGATTGAGTGAGTGTATGTAATCCTAGTGTGTGCATGTGACAATAAGGCAGATCATTGGAGCTTGCTGGTCAGCCCAACCTATGTAACTAATGTATACTGGGCTCAGTGACAGACCCAGCCTCAAAAATAAATAAATGAATAAATGAAAAAAATGATAGGGAGGACACCCAAAGTCAACCTCTGGCTTCCACATGTACACACATACATGTGCACATACAAAAATCTGTCAAAACATTCAATTACAAGAGTCTTTTAGACCATTAGCTCTACGTGTGGGGGGGGGGGGGCTATAGCAGTTCTCTGTCTTCTGTAAATCCAAGTCTCTTTCTCTGGTTTTTCTTCACATTATGCTTTGAAACTGAAAAGCAAACATGAAGCTAGGTGTGGCAGCATGTGCTTGTGATCCCTGTGTTTGTGAGGCACAGGTGGGATGATTGTGAGTTCAAGGCCAGCTTAGCCTAAATAGCAAGAACTGATAAAAGGAGAGGAGGCCTAGCGGGAGGAGGGGAAAGGGAGGGGGAGGTAAGGGAAGAGCTGGGGGACAGGAACTATTGCTTAAGAAACAAGCCCCTTGCCTGGATATTTGGAAAGTAATCCAGCCATAATCTCTGGTGATATAACAGAAACCCAGGCTAGACACCCGAGGTGAGCAAGGAAGAGATAGCAGATATGTGACTCTTGAATATCACAGATTGCATTTCAAAACCACATTGGAAAGGATATTGGTTCATATTTGACTTTTTGTATTAACTTTGCCTTTTCCTATTCCCATCACAGATAACTGAGGTTTTAATGTACAGTAATGACATCCTAAGGGGGCTGTCCCAGAAGCATATCTGAACTTCTGCTTAGTATATTTTATTCTTGCAGCTTTCCTTCCTCCTGATTTGTAATTCAAGAGGCTGAGCCTCAGAGAGACAACAAAGCTTCTGGAATGGCTAAAACAACCAGGAGCTGGGATACCACCTTCTATGAAAAGGTTTGCTATCAAACTTGCTTTTCATTTCATTATGCTGTGCTTTTTTTTCTCCATGCTTCCTAAATGTAGATAACTCCTACACGGTCAATTTGTGATTATCGAATAGTTTGAATATGAGGGTAATTTATTTTCTAGGTGAGCTGCTCAGGCATAAAGCAAAATTGGTTAGGTTTCTCTTAGCTGTCAGTTGGCCCCATCTACTTCAGATCTTATCAGATGTTTCCTTGCTTCTTGTTTATAGGACACATTTTGACGTCTTGGAGCTGTGATTAGCCAAATTTAATCTACTGTTAGAGCATGGTTTTCTGTATTCTTTGTCTTCAGAAATGATGTACGCCCGTTTACACACTCCTGTTGCTCAAATTTCCCCTTTACTTGAAAAAGATGAAGACTGTTTTGGTATAGAAGAGTTTATTGGACTTCCAAGAGATGATGTAATACAGTCATTTGCATTCAATGCCATAGTTCCCTTCACGTATGTTGGACCAGGATTACTAGAAGGTTGAGCTCAATTTAATAAAGCATGGTCTTTTGGTTTTACACCCAACAGGATGTCAGGGAATATACTAGAATGAGAGATTACAAAGTATACTCTCATATTTGGCTAATTTTTGTTGTTATATTCTATGCACATGAGGCAACACATACCTTTATTAAGGAAAGATGGCAAGTAGACATTCTTTAGCACCTAACATGTTTGTGGGTAAGAAATGATTTACTTCTCATCTTTGAGACACTTTCATGAATGAAAATCTCTTTAGTGTAATATGAAATGAAAAAAAAAGTCTTAAAATTAATGTACAGAATCTCTGGCGCTACCAAATGAAAAGCATGTTCCTTCAAACCCAAGAAGGTATGAGTAGCAGGCCCAGGAAATGTCATTCTCTAGTTGTAGTTGTGTAGCAGCAGGAAGCTGAGCCACAGGAAATCCTCATGACCCTTCAGTTTGGAAACATTGTTAGGTTTCTTCCTGCCATAAATGATCAAAGAAACATCCGCCTAACTCTCCTCGGCCCGAGCTCACGTTGAGTGACAGGTCCAACATGTTAGCTCAAGGAAACCTGACGGGCTTATTTGTGGCCTTCGTTGTCGAACAGGGTGTCATTTCCCATGTTTCGTTGGGTGCTCCAGCAGCATCAGCTTCTAACAAAGGCAGAGGTTTAAACCTACAGTGGCTTCACAAAAGGAAACGTGTGACAGCGGCTCCTCAGCTTGGGAATCCTGGGGCCGGGAGTACCCCTGGGATCCCGTTCCCCTAGATTCTCTGCTTTACAGCTACTGGGTGGCTTTTGGAGTTGGGAGTCAGGCTCTCCGGTCCCAGATGGAAATCATTAACAAGGCAGTCAAGCCCGTAACAAGAAGGGAAGCCAAGGTCTATCGGACAGACCAGGGTCTGAGTGTGTCTGGACTTGGGAAAGAAAGGGACGAGGTCCCTTCTTCCCGGAGCCCATCTGAACGATTAGGTAAAAATCCCGCCAGGGTGTGGTCGAGGCACCCACCGGCAACTACTAAGGCAAGGAAAGACCGGAAGTCCTGCAGGTTCCCACCTCGGATTGGCGAGACTCTCGTAACCCCTTTCGGAAGTCTCCCCAGATCTTCCGCCATTAGGCGCCCAGGCGGCGGCCACGGGGGAGCGTGCGGAAAGGGAGTCTTTCTCCCGCCTCCCAGGCCGGCTCGCTCCGCTCATTGGGTAGGGGAAGACCGCCCCTCCTACGTCTGTACGTGCTCCGGGTGGAAACCGGAGCTGTGGGCGTTGGCGTTCCGGACAGGGAAGGGCCGTGGGGGACTCGAGAAGGCCGCACGCCCGCCGCTCCTCCCACCCCTCCCCCGCCCCCCCACCCCCGCCTCGGCCCCGAAGGGGGCTGCACGGGCGACTTGGCGGCGATGGCTCGAGCTCGGGCGGCGACAGCGGTGGCCGGAGGCGGCGGCTCCTCCTCCTCCTCCTGGGCCTGGGCCCGGCGGTGATCCGAGCTGGCGGCCGCGGCCCCCCGATGAGACTGTTGGCGGGCTGGCTGTGCCTGAGCCTGGCGTCCGTGTGGCTGGCGCGGAGGATGTGGACGCTGCGGAGCCCGCTCTCCCGCTCCCTGTACGTGAACATGACGAGCGGCCCCGGCGGGCCAGCGGCGGCCGCGGGCGGCGGGAAGGACACGCACCAGGTACTGGGCCGCAGCCCTGCGGGGCGGGGGCGTGGCGCTCGGCCTTCCCGCGCTCGCCCGGGCCATTGTGCGGGGCGGCGCGCGCGGGCCTCGGCCCCAGCCTCGCACAAACTTTTCCCGGCCCGGGCGCTGGCCCCGCGGCGCCTTTTGTTCGGTGGCTCGGGCAGAGTACGGCCTCCGCTGCCCCAGCTCCCCAGGCCCCAGCGTGGGCGCCCCGGAGCCCCGCATTGTTCCCAGGCCCCCGACGGCGTCCGCGCCCGGCCTCAGGATCCGTGCAACTTTGGGGTTGGCTACCCAACTGGCACCGGGGCCCGAGCAGAAAACAGCCCCCACCATCACCCCGGTCAGCCTTCCTCTCCCCCCAGGAGCGAAACCGAAGGCCGGTCCCTCTTTTTGTCTAACCGAATTTCTGAACATACAAAGGGTTGTAAAGAAATTCAACCGGGCCTCGTGAACCATTCGGCTGACATTTTCCCGAAGCACTTAAAAAAATGTGTTTGACAGGTCTGGGCTCCCAGCCTAGGAACCCTCCCACCCTTTCTGCCTAAGAGACGTGTTCTTTAAACTTGGGTTTAGTTAGCTGACCAGAAAGGTTAGGACAAGGAGGGTTTAAAGGGAGAGGTTTTTAAAGTCGGAACTGTGCAGCGGTGAATTCTTGTTATAGTTAATGGATCGTGAGCCGTGGGATTCTACCGGCTGAACGGTCTTTTCATTAGCTGTTTGTACCTCTTAACGAAGTAGGCATGGGTCAGCTGTTGAATTAAGAGGGAGGTATTTCATATTTGACCATAAGTAGTTTGCGGTTAACCTTGCAGTCACTGAAGAGAGAGGCCTTGGAATTTAGACAAACTTCTAAAAGCCAGAGTTTAGTACATCTTGCTTTTACAGAGAGAAACAAGGAATTATTCGTGTTATTTTCGACCTCACCTTTTCATGTATAAAAGCAACATTAGGTTTGATTTACTGATTATTGGGATACATTGTTTTTTTATGATGCTAGAACGGAACTCAAATCCCGGAAACTGTTCTACTGGTGATAGATACTCAGACCCCTTTTGGAAGTAATCCTAGATTTACATTTTAAAAAAAATGCCCTAGTGATTGTGGTGTTTTAGATGACCACTCGTGGTGTTAAGAGTGTATATAAACTTAGTATACAATCTTACGTTGTATAGCCATATTTATCGCCATGGGCTACTTCCTGCCAGCTCAGTGGCATAGACACACTACCCTGTTCATTGTATAGGTACCAGGATGCCTCATGTCCATGTGGAACAAGAGATTGGAAATGCTGTTTTTAACAAGGACTTGATAGGAAAAAAAAAAAGATCATTCTCTTTGATGAAGAATTATGGCTGAGTCTCCCAGTTGTTGGTCACACTTGTGAATACTGCAGCGACTTGATTTAAGTGCTTATAAAAATTGTGCTTATGGGATGGCTCAGTAGTTAAAGAATGTGCTGTTCAGTTTCCAGCACCCATGCCAGATAACAACTCTTGTAACTCTAGTTCCCGCGGGATTGGATGCCTCTGGCCGTCTTTGGGCGTGCGCATGCGCGCGCACCGATATTTAAAAGAAATCTTTAAAAATTGTATTTATTTTAAAACCTGAAAACTGGTTTCTGTTGGTGGACACTGTCTCTGAATTTCCAGCAGAGAGCATTTTCTAATTGCATACATTCATTTTTTTGTGGTGCCGAGGATCGAACCCAGGACCTGTACATGCCAGGCAACCGCTGTACCACAGGCACGTCCGTAGTCCTTGTTTATTTGTGTATTTAATTTTGAGACAGGGCCTTGTAGCTCTGGCTGTCCTAGTAACCCTATGTAGTCCAGGCTGGCTTTGAACTCAAAGCAGTCTTCCTGCCTCAGCTTCCAGAATGCTAGGATTACAGGTGTTGAGCATCACATCTGGCTTGCTCTCAGAGTTTTGTTTTGTTTTGCTTTGGTGTGCCACCACTGCCTGGCCGTCCTTGGTGTTTTGAGTAGTTTAGGATGGTCTCAGCTTCACAATCCTCCTACACTGACCTGAGTACTGGGGTAATTTTAAGTGTGCACTGCTAAACCCTGCCAGGCATTATTTTTGAGGTGAATACATTTGTGTTATGAAAAAGAAATGTCTGTGAGTAAAGATGAAGATGACCAGGAGGAAAGTGTGTACGCCTGAAGCCACCATGAGCTAACAGAGAGAGAGGCTGTTCTTTTTGCGTATCGGCAGAGGGCATGACTTATATTCCAGAATCCTGGTTTGCTGTATAACTTTGTTGCTTGTGAAGTAACTTTAATGGTTTCCCCCTTCAAATTAATAGTTTTATAGAGGTTTTCTGGTGTTCATTTGGGTGTGTGGGTTCCATGGGCAGCCGCATCTGGTTCTTTTGGAGTTGCATGAAAGAGGAGTTCCAGACTAAACCATCTTAGCGCAGGTTTTCTTGGTGTTTTATAAAGGATTTATGGTGCAGGGTTTTTTGGTTAAGAGAGATCTGGAGTGAAGTTTACTTATTAAAAATCGCTGTTTAGTTGTTGGGCTTAGCTTGAAAACTAATTACTTGTTTCAGTGTGCTAGTTGCAGAACTAGATTATGCTTTACTTTGGCAAGAAGGACTTTTGGAGAAGGGACATAACCAGCAGGCTGAACTGGTTTTATTGACTTGGGTAGCTTGTGAAATAAGAATAGCCTCATGTTTTTAAGTGGTTGTCAATGGGGGTACAAAATACTATTTTTTTTTCAAAATACTATTTTGTAACATGAGAATTTCACATATAAAATTCAAATATCAGAGTCTTCAAGTGTTGTTGAAACATAGCTGAACACATTGATTGGTTCAGCTATGGATGGTGTGTGTGTTTGGGTAAAGAAATGATCACCACCCAAAAGTATTTTCTCTGCCCTCAAAGTCTGCTCCCCCCCCCCCCCCCCCCCAGTTCCCAGCTTTGTTGATCAACAGTCTGGGATTCTCAGCCACAGGATGGGAGGATGGATTTGTTGGGGGAGAAGTAGAAAGCAGCAGGAACTAGATGTCACTCATCATTGTCAGTACACTCAGAGCATAGGAAACCACACAACCCTTTGGATGTAGTCTTTTTGGTGCATTCTACCTAGTGCTTAAAGTTAAAGAACCATTATGGAGCTATTGAAACTTGAAAGGCTCCTCAAGGCCCCAATAACTAGATTCTTAGTAATAACAGTCATCCACAGCCTCTCAATTGATGGATCGAAAGGTTGTTATAAAACTTGTTGGTTCTAAACCATGGCACTTTCTCCAGGTGGAAAACTTGTATTTGTTTTTCACATATAACATTTAATGTGTGGAATTATTTAGAAGTCACTTAATATTACAAGTTACATGTAAGCCTAGTGCTTACATATAAAGAGTCTATTTTTACCTTCTTATATAAGCTCAGAGCTGCTGTGCCAGCCTCTACAATAGAGTCAAGAAAGAATTGGAATATATATTTCCAAATGAAAAAGTACTTGAATGTCACAGCCAGAATCAGATGTGCTAAAGGACAGGTTAAGTTTCCTGTCCCTTTATTCCTCATTTGCCTTGTGGAGGTTGGCAGAAGTCAGGCATGAGTTAACCATGCTTCAGGGTGTCAGCCAGCTAGCCAACAGACTGATGAATTGGTGTCTCTGCTCTGCCTTCCAGGCTGGAAGCCTTTGCAGCCGAATACTAAAGACTCTGGAGAAGATTTCTTTCCTCTTTGCACCTTCTACTGTAGCCCTTAAACAAGTGCGTGCCTCAGTTTCATGGAACACTAAGATCACTTCCTTCCCTGAATGTGCCAAGGGTCATTATGTTCCCCTTTGAAAGTGCCCTAGAGGACCCTGTAACCTGTACTAAAAAGAGTCTGTTGTTGCGCCCATCAGGAGTTTTGTTAAAATCTTAGGATTATAAAACACTAATCATGAGAGAGTATTTGGAATGAGGACTGCCAGTTATATATTTATTAAGTCCAAACTAAAGCAACTTGATCTAATCTGTATAAATGGCTCTCCACTGTGAATGCACGGGCACCTTTTCATTGTGCACATTGAGATTGTTAGCGGAGCCTGATTATGCTGCTGGGTGCTCTGCAGACAGAAATGGATGGAAGGACAGAGGTTTACTCACAAGCTTTGCCCAGTATTGAGGAGAGGGAAATTCTCAATCAGTCTTGGCCTTACCAGGTGCTATCATTTATAGAAAGATGCACCTAAAGCCAGGACCTATGCATGTGCGTATTTAATTATGGGCCTTAATTACCAGACTTGTATGCCAAATTTTCTCCTGTTCATAGTGCTTTTGGACCTTCCTTCCTTCCTTCCTTCCTTCCTTCCTTCCTTCCTTCCTTCCTTCCTTCCTTTTGAAGATTTTTATTTATTATATATGTAGTGTTCTGTCAGCATATATGCTTGCATGCTGTAAGAGGGTTGTGAGCCACCATGTGGTTGCTGGGAATTGAACTCAGGACCTCTGGAAGGGCAGTCAGTGCTCTTAACTAACCACTGAGCCAGCTCTCCAGTCCCATGGGGCTATCTTTCTTTACTCATTGTTGATGTATCTTGGAGGGATCCTAATTCCTACAGCCCCATTACACATCTCAAGTAAAGAGATAATTGACTTGTTACAAATTTCTAGATAAATGGTGAGTGGGTTTTGGATTTACTCTTGAGCTGTCTTTTAGAGTGTGTCAGTTGTGAAATTTTGAGACTGATTGCATTGCATCTGGGAATGGAATTTCTGAGTCCTTAACTTTAAAGATTGTAGTTCTTGGGCTTTTTCTGACCACTTCTCTAATTGGAAAGAATGTTTATTCATTAAATTAATGGGTCCCATTTCTTTTGAGAATGATTTGGGTGCCCAGACAGTTAATATGAACTATGTCCTATATTCCCCCCCCCCCCAATCCTGGCCAGCCAGCCGTTTCCTTCTGACATGTGAACACTTACTAGGGCTTTTATCATGTACCTGGTAACTTTAAGTAAGTGTGCTTTATAATCCTATAACAGCTCTTCTTCAT